TCTAGAGCAAACTGGTTTGGACAGGCTCTTTGGGGTATAGGGAATCCTTCATACATATTTGTAAGCATTTGTAAACATTTCATCCCTTTGGTTGGGTCCACAACATTCCTCTACACTCAACAATAAACCACCCTCATGCTAAAACCAATCAATCTGTGACTTCAGGAGACTATAAGGCAGCACTATGCCATTGCTACTGCACAAAATTTTTCCACAGAGTCTTGATTGGAGAGAATTAGCTTGGTGTAAAATTAATCGGGTCTCCCTGGGTATCTGAGAATACTTGGATTCAAGAGGTTAGTACGTAGATCTCTGTAAAAAAAGACAGCACAGTAAAACATGGCCTACAGTTTCCACTTGGCCATTGTTACGTGGACACAGGCAATCAAAGACAGGTATATGTTGAAATCTTCCCTCCATGAGCTTAGAAGGTAAAACATTAAGTCTCGCTAATGTGAAGGCTCTTCTAGTCTTTGTCATCATTGTGCTAGTCAGATATGAGGATATTGTAAAGGCATTATTAGTAACCACGCTGTATTTGCCCGACTGGCTCATATGCTCTTGAAGTTCTATGCCCCAGGTTCTTTGTTTGAGTGCTGCTTTGGCCCCTACATGACCCATTGCCAAGAGAGCATCGGTGGAAAAACCCATTTGCGTTATTTCTTTTGTAAGTTGGAGTTTCCAGTCTGATTGAAAGGAGTCAAAAAGTGACATCTGTGCCAAGCCTTCAGAGGAGAAGATAAGCTTTAGTCAGTAATTAAACATACGGACTCTGGCATGTGCTGTTATGGCAATGAGGCCAGCCAAATAAAAGGTGTATTTTCCCCTTCATTTTTCTTGTGGTTGACTCACTTTTATGAAAAAAAGTAAAAAAAAATTCTATGTAAAAATACTAAAATAAATAAATAAATGGTTGAAATTCTGTTGCTTAGCTTAATAAGTAACCCATGAGTAAACCTATTGAATCACTGGGGATCTACTGAGTCAAATCCTTTGTAAGTTCCATTGTAAGTTCAGTGGGCCTGCTCTAGTTGTGATTTGCTACACTAAGCAACAAGATTTCACCAATTGAATTCTATTATAGTGCAAATATTTTAGCACTTGCTTGAGTGAATGTATCATTTCTGTTCCATAACTGATGATGAATCTAGAGTCACAGAGCTCTAGTTACTCTCACCTGTTGTTATTATACATGACATGTTTTGGTAGAATATGAATTATTACAGGCAGCAACCCTCACTCAAAAAATGGGATCCATACCAAGCACTCACTCCCATGCTACCCTAACCAGTTATCTAAGCAGGTCTTGAGATGTCTACTGGTTCCATATTCAGAACCCATCACCTGGAATGGAATCATGTTTTTTGCCCATTCCCCCCCCCGCCCCCCAGAATAACTCCTGCCAACAGTCTGTTGACAGATGCATAAGGCCCACTCCCTGGATATGTCATTATCTGTGCTTGGAAGCCACTTGTTGTATATCTGTGTTACTCTACTAATCTTTTTCCTTTTTCCTTTTTCCAATGAAGCTTTAACAGTGAGGTTCATCACCAAGCGATTTATCGGTGATTATGATCCTACTTTAGGTAAGTTTAACTCCTTGCTTGCTTATCTGAATCAGGGCATTGGTGGATATTTGGGTTGGTGCTGGTAGTGTATGCATATCTATTATTAGAAGTAATGGCTATTATATTACCATTAACAAAATGGCTGTTGTCAGGTTTGGCCGTAGCTCAATGCTTCTGAGCACATGCTTTGTATTCAGAAGGTCTCATGTCCATTTGCTCACATTTCCAAGTCAGGCTAGGAAAAATTCCTGTTTGACACCTTGTTGAACAGCTGCCAGTGAGTGTAAATTATACTATGCTAGATGGCCTTGTCCTTTGAATTGCTATAAGGCAGGTTCCTACATTCCTAATGAATTATGGTGTTTGGAGGAGCAGTGACTAATTAGTATTACTTTCAAATGTCAAACATGTGTCTCCTCATATTATAAAAATAAATGATGGTGAAGTAGAGAATGGTGATATTTCTGTAATGTTTTTCTCCTTAAATGTACCCAAAATAGGCTATTGCATAATCCTAAAGACATGTATTATCAATTAAAAACTAAAGTCTATCTAACCACCAGATTGTCTAAAAACAATAACAAAACAACGTAGGAGACAGCCAGCACTTATATAAGTAAAAACAACATTTAAAGCTTAACAGCAGCAAAATTCAAACCAGCAGGAGTAAAATTAGGTGTTGTACCTTAAAACAGAGGTGAGCAACATGTGATCCATGGGCCATATACAACTCTCAGAGACCTGAATAAAGCCCCATGGCACCCCTCCCCCACTAATAACCTAGGCCCCAAATTTTTAAAAGAATCAATCAATCAACCAATCAATTGGGCAAAACTGGTGTGGCCTTAAAGTGCCAGGGATGGATGTGAGCAATTTCTCGACCTTTGGAGACCTCTGGAGACCACCCTCTTTTCTTTAAAAACTTTCTGGAACAAATGTCTGCAGTTCCTGGAAAAAAGACACCATGAAGGAACCAGATGGATTTCTGTTGAGAAGCTTTCCAGAGTCATAATGGCCTCGCAAAAAAGGCACCATCTCACATCCTCTCACTCTGAAACTCACCAGATGATCAAGTTATGTGCTCAACATGTCCTGACAACTCAGATTGAGCAGCCAGTGATAAGATAGTGGCCTGAAGGTTTGGTTCATTCTGGAACAGCACCAAAAAAAACAAACAAACAAACAAAAAAAAAAACCTAATCATTTGGTCACCATTTTGCCTCATTTATGAATTCCATACTCTTTAGGGAGTCGATTTTCATTGGACCGGTCTAAATTTCACCTGGGATGAATTTCTGTTTTTTTCATGTAAGAGTTACGAGGTCTCTGAAAATCCTGCTCCTTACAGAATGCCTACTTTGTCTCTGATATTCTGTTCCCTTTAAAATGTAGGCCTTTACAGTGGTGCCTCGAATTACAAACTTAATTGGTTCAGGAAGATGGCCATCACTAGAAATGGTTGTAAGTCGAAGCACCATTTCCCATTGGAATGCATTGAAATGCAATTAATCCATTCTGGCCAAAGAAAAAAATCACACAAAAAAATCACTGAAAGACCGGTTGGGAACGTGATTAATCCCTTCCAGCCGAGGGGGGGGAGGGAAAGTAATCAACCATGCAAGACCCGTTGCAAATGCAAACAAGACAAAGCAAAAAGCAATCAAGTTTGCAAGACCTAATACAAAGAAAACAAACCAAAAACCAATCAACCGTGCAAGACCCATTGCAAATGCAAACAAGACAAAAGCAAAAAAGCAATCAAGCAGATCGTGCAATATCAGAAATGGGGGGGGGATGCAAAAAAGCAAGGAAACCACCTAAGACCCATCACAGGACAGAAACATAACCCCCCAGCTTAAAACCACGCAGCAAAAACACCCAGAACAGTTTTTAGAAAGCAGAAAACAGTACCTTATCTTACAAGGCAGCCCAAAGCCTCCCTGCAAACACACACACACACGCTCTCAGAAGCAGAAGGAGGCAGTCCCAAGCCTTCAATGACGATGCACACTCTCTAACTGTTGGGGAGAAAGAGCTACACAGAAGCAGCCTCATTGCCACCTACAGTTAGAAATTTGAATTTCCTACCTTTTCCCCCCTGCCTTTTTCTGTTCATAAGTGGAAGCTCCGGTCGCAAGTAGAAGCAAAATTTTGCAGCCAGAGCTGGTCGTAACTCGAAATGGTCATAAGTAGGGACATTTGTAAGTTGAGGCACCACTGTATCTTCATAATTTCCTTGTCCTTTCATTTAGCAAGAATAAAATCCATTTGGGAATACTGTAATTAATTAAGAAATAGACTTAATATCTATTATGTCCTTCTTTCCCTCTCATCTTTGCTTCTGTTTTTTTTTAAATGTCTATTTTATTGTTTCCTGCAAAATGCAAGAGCTTCTTCTCCATAAAAACCTTTCAGGCTGGAAACAGAAGTAAAGCGTCTGTGCCAGTAAACGTCTGCATGTTTCCCATAAGACAGAAAATCCTGCTTTGGAGAGGGCAGGAGGCAGATAACAGTGAAAAAAAGGAGTGATTTGTAAAGGTGTGAGCTTGAAGAACTGAAACTAGGAAACTCACTTGGGATCTTGAAAACCACATAAAGTCAAAATAGAAGTGTGTGTGTGTGGGGGGGGCTCTGCTACTTTGAGGCCTCTGAAGATTTTCCTGGCAGGAACAAAGGCAAGGTTATCCTTACATTAGGCCAAGTAAGGGGGATGCCTGAGTTTGTGTATCATGAAAGAGAGATAATTTGTAATTTTTAAAAATGTATTGTGCTCATAGTTATTCTTTCTACTAGAGAGAGTGAGAAATGCATGGCTCATTTTCTACCTCAGATACCAAACTAACTGGGGCTGGTTTAGAGATCAGCATCTTGATTTGGGAGGGGGTGTGTGGCATTTGCGGGTCTACCTCAGGCAGGGAATTAGGCTGGCTCTGGAAGAAGTTGTGGGAGCTAAGCAATGTGAGGTGCACTTTCCCCAATTTTTGACAAGAGTTGCTCATAAGGGCTCCTTTTTCTTTTTCATTTTTCATTTACAAATGGGCAATGACTTCACTTGACAACTCTCTGTTGCCTTCTGGGTTTTTCTCGTTCTTGCAGACCCAAACACACTTCTGGCAGTTAGCCTCCATGAACACCATGAAACTTATTTTCCAAGTTAAAACATGAAGGATTGTTCTCTATGTCACAGAACCAACCGTGGGCATGTACATACACACACACACAGAGAGACAAAGAGTAATGACTTCTCTGTAAGATTCAGAGAGATCTGTGGGTGGGAAGAGTGCACTGAAAGAGAGAGGGAACCAAAAATCTCTCCCCCTCCCATTTATTTTCACAGAAAGGAATAATTGGGAGGAGGATAATGAAGCCAAAGGCCATCAACATGAAGGAGACAGTATGGAATTTCTCCTCCTTGAATCCACAGTATCCAATATTAGAATCTTGGATACATGCATCTTGAGAAAGAGAGAAATGTCCTAGAGGGCAAGATGAGTTAGTAAGACTCATTGGAGCATGATCCTGTCAAAGTCAGAAGGTGTGTGGGAGTTCAAAAGGAGAGCAGAGTGCTTAGGAGGAAAGATGTCACCCCATGCGTGGCTGCCCTTCAGGGCAACCTCTGCTCTGTAGGTGGCCTTGCTGTTGTTGTTTTTTCAGCCTCTGTTCTGACAGCGCCTTGTTGCACAAAACAATTGAATGTGCGTTTGTTTTCTAAGGGAATGACAAAGCTTCCTTCCCACCCACATTCCCCCATAATTGCTCCATGGTAAGGTTTCAGATCCCCTTCAGGGATTACTGCCTTGTCCTGGCAAAGGGGCTTGAGTAATTCAGAGAAGTTATAGGCTATGTCGTGCAGGGACATCGAAGACAGACGGGTCATAGTGGAGAGTTCTGACTAAATGCAATCCACCTGGAGCAGGAACTGGCAAGCCACTCCAGTATCCTTGCCAAGAAAACTCCATGGACAGAAACAAAAGGCTAAAAGATATGAAGCTTGAAGATGAGCCCCTCAGGCCAGAAGGCATCCAACATGCTACTGAGGAAGAGTGGAGGACCAGTACAAGTAGCTCCAGAGCTAATGAAGTGGCTGGGCCAAAGCCGAAAGGATGTTCAGCTGCAGACGTGTCTGGAAGTGAAAGGAAAGTCTGATGCTGCAAAGAAAAATACTGCACAGGAACCTGGAATGTAAGATCTATGAACCCTGGGAAGCTGGGTGTGGTCAAACAGGAGATGGCAAGAATAAACATCGACATCCTGGGCGTCAGTGAGCTAAAATGGACGGGAATGGGCAAATTCAATTCAGATGATTATCATATCTACTATTGTGGGCAAAAAGCCCGTAGAAGAAATGGAGTAGCCCTCATAGTCAACAAAAGAGTGGGAAAAGCTGTACTGTGATACAATCTCAAAAATGACAGAATGATTTCAATACAAATCCAAGGCAGACCTTTCAACATCACAGTAATCCAAGTTTATGTACCAACCACCAATGCTGAAGAGGCTCAAATTGACCAATTCTATGAAGACCTACAACACCTTCTAGAACTAACACCAAAGAAAGATGTTCTTCTCATTATAGGGGACTGGAATGCTAAAGTAGGGAGTCAAGAGATAAAAGGAAGAAAGGTAAGTTTGGCCTTAGAGTTCAAAATGAAGCAGGGCAAAGGCTAATAGAGTTTTGTCAAGAGAACAAGCTGGTCATCACAAACACTCTTTTCCAACAATACAAGAGGCAACTCTACACATGGACATCACCAGATGGCAATACTGAAATCAGATTGATTATATTTTCTGCAGCCAAAGATAGAGAAACTCTATACAGGCAGTAAAACAAGACCTGGAGCTGATTGTGGCTCTGATCATCAGCTTCTTATAGCAAAACTCAAGCTTAAACTGAAGAAATTAGGAAACAGCACTGGGCTAGTCAGGTATAATCTAGACCAAATCCCTTATGAATACACAGTGGAAATGAAGAACAGATTTAAGAACTAGATTTGGTGGACAGAGTGCCTGAACAA